GCGCTCGGCAACGACGTCCACGATGCCGACGCAGGATCAGACATGAAGGTGTAGGTTGCAATAACGTCATGCCATACTGATCGTCATGCCATACTGCTCGTCGTGTCTTCATGATGGATGTACAATTAATGTACACACGGAATGTATCATATAGGCTCCATACCGATTCCTACGTGTTTCTTCGCTCATCGTGCGCATCCCGCGCGATCGTCGCCTCGGGCCATCGTCATGTCCCGCCTACGCCGTTGCGTCATAGCCCTGCGAAAGCGACACATAAGCGGGACGGCGTGACCTCCCACTCTAACGCGACTCTCAACGTAACCATCCACCATGTCTCTCCCAACCCGTCAACTGGTGGTCACAAGGTATGCCTGTCCGTTTCAATTCGGCGTGACTCTGGCCCGTTGCAGGCCGCGATCAACAACCCGAACGTGTCCGAGGAGGCCAAGGAGCACTCGCGCCAGATGATCGAGGAGCTCGAACACGATCCCGAGCTCTCGGTGACGCGCGAGGGCTACGAGGACGACAAGGATAACACGCGCGTCAACGCCGGGCACAAGGCTACGTTGAAGAGTGAGTTGGAATGCCTCTTCGTGCTGCGCGTTGACGACGGTGGCTGACCTTGCGCGCATGGTGCAGACCCGAACGTGAGCGAGGAGGCGAAGGAGCGCTCGCGGCAGTTTTTGCAGGAGCGCGACGCGCTTGACGAGGATAGCTGAGCGCAGGAGGTACCAACTACACCACGTCGTGCGACTGGAACGAATGAAGAGGAGGATGATAAAGATGTGGTTGTACGATACGAGTAACACGGCAGTTGCCAGCGTCTGGCTAGAGCACTATCCCCTTCGCCGCGAAGAACCGGCGAGCGCGTCCGCCTGCTCGCTCCACATCGGTCGCGCGAGCGTCACCCACCGGTCGATCCACCGCCCGAGCACTCGCCCGCCCCCACGATGCAGTCCAGCTCGCCCTCCCCCATCGCCCTGCTCCCGCGGTCCGCGCCGTCGAAGCGGACATAGTGCCACACCCCGCGCAGCGCGCGTATCCACCCGTCGCGCGCGCGGTTGAGGCGCACCCCGCGCGCGACCGCGTAGAAGCACGCGCGGGTCGTGTGCAGCGCGCGCGGCTTGTGCACGACGAGCTGGTCCGCGAGGCGGTCGAGGAGGAAGAGGAGCTGGGGGCGGGCGGGCGCTCGGCGTGCGAGAGCTTGAGCACGAGCGTCCCGCCGTGGCGGAGCGAGTCGAGCGCGAGGAGGAGGGAGGAGAGGAGGAGGGCGTCGTGGGACGCGCGCGGAGGGTCTTCTGCGCGGGGGTCTACTGCGGGAGAGGACTGGGGCGAGGAAGGGGAGGGGGTGGGGCCGCGGGTACGAGGCTGGTAGGAGTGGGGGGTGTGCCCGTCGATGAGGACGAGGTTGAAGTGGTTGTGGAGGAAGACTGGGACAGGGTCGAGCGGGGCAGGGAGGGGTGTGCGCCCGAGGGAGAGGTCGAGCTCGAGGACGTCCTGCTCGATGAGGCGGTAGCGCTGGTGGAACTGCTCCTCGAGCTGCATCGGGGGCCCGCCCTGGGAGACGGGGAGGGTGATTCCGGTCCCGAGCGCGTTGCGGTTCTTGCGGAGGATGTACGAACTGAACCCGCCGGGGGCGCAGCTGGTGGGATGCATGAGCATGTGCTGTAGGGACGAGGTGAGATGAGTTGGAGAGCATACACTCACCCGATGTCGAGGAAGGTGAAGTGTCCCCAGGAGGGAATGAGCTGACCGCTGGCGTGGTCGACTTCCTTCATGACAGACCTCATCTTCTTGAACCAGATGTAGGAGGTGTCTTCGTCCACCGCCTTAGCCGAGCGCTTCCCCTCGAAATAACCATCGAGCTGATCGTTGTCCCAGCCCTGTTCCGACGCTCGCAACCAGGAGCGCTTGAGAGGATAATCGGACGCACCTTCCTACGCAGATCGATCAACCTCTCCAGCTCCGGGACACGGCGCCTCGCCAAGATGGCGCCAGGGTGTAGCAGCTGTTGGTGCTCCGGGAAAGAAGTGTCTTCGCCCTCGTCCTCTGTTTGACGAGTGCGGCGAAGCGGTTCGGAGTGGCGACGCGGGGGGCGGAGAAGTGGGGTCCGGGCATAGTGAACACGGTGGGAAGAGGAGCGCATGACACCGGGGAGATCCCCCCTTTATACTCTCGCGGGATGCGTTGTCGCGGTCTCGACTGAAATGCATTGTGGCTGACTGTTGTCGAGACCGATGTTACCACAGTGGGAACAACGGCCGGAGAGATTGCGATTCTGACCTTGATATAAAAGCGCATATATGGGTGTTTCTAACTTAATACGCGTACTACGCTCTAGCCTTTCGGCGCTTCAAGGTGTCCTTCAGGTCCTTCCAGATGTCAACGGTGCGGCCGATGAGACTTCGAGGGGGCTGTGGCGGGTAACACTGCGGAAGGCGCGCACGATCGTGAGAGAAGGGAATAATCGAGCGATTGGAAAACGAAGGAGGATAGGCACTTACAGTCGCTCCAAGCGGACGCCGCCAGCTTCGTTCTGCAGGATAAACAGGAGCCTGTCAAGGCGATCGTTCACCCCAGCGAACTCCTCCTTGAACTCCTTCAGGAGCCCGGCGAACTCCTCGACCTTGTTATTGAGCCTCTCGACGTCCTTCTTGATCCCCGCGACGTTATTCTTAATCTCCGCGACGTCCTTCTTGAGCTCCGCGACGTCCTTCTTGAGCTCCTCGTACTCCTCCTTGCGCTCCTTACGCTCCGTGGCGAGCTCCTTCCTGAGCAGCTCATGGTCGCGCTTGGCGGTGTCCTTGGTCTCGGCTTTAGCGAGTGCTTCGGGGGTAGAGGCACCCTGAGGGACTGGAGGGACCAGAGCTAAGGGCGGCAGGGGAACGTATTTCCCCGTCGCGGATGTAGCTAAACACAAGCGAGTTATTAGTACGGCGTTGCGGTCCACAGAAGCGACGTAGATAAACTCACCAGCTTGGTCGACAGGGGAATCGATGAAGTCCAAGGTGTCCTGGCGGATTTGGGGTAGAAGGACATCAAAGACAAGACGGCGGGAGAAGTGCGCGGTGATGGGTAGTGCAAGGGTTCGGGGGGAGGGCAGTGCGCCGTACGGAGTCGCAGGACGACTCGAGATCGGCTCTCTCGCTTCTCTTCCGTTTGTTGAGGCATGGCGAGGCTGAAAAGCTGACCAAAGTCCGCTGGTGGGTGTCAAAGGAAGTGTCTGCCCCTGAGCGCACTCGCTTCATCATGTGGTGGCGGCCCGGCCGCCCCGGCCGATTTTTCGGTAACGGACAGCGCCGAGTCCGTGTGGCCGACCGGATGCTCCGGATGAGCGCGGCTGGCACCGTGGTGGAAAAGAACGTCCACATGGGCACCGTGTACGGGGGATGGCTGCGCTGGGAGAGGTGGCGGAGCAAGTGGACCGTCTCGGGTGGTCGTCTGCTGCAGTGGTCTCGGGGCAACTTGATGACACAGGGTTCGAGTACGCAGATGTGGAACCCCTTCTCATGGCGGAGCCGGAGTGGATGCCTGTCGCTGCTGTTCAGAGTGGGGTTTTCTAGGTCTAGACCGGGGATCGCAACTGTAAGAGTCGGTTTCTTGAATCTTGCGACGATAATCGGCGGCGGCGGCGGCGGCGGTCTTGGGGAGGAGTAGTGGCAGGGAGAGGCCTGCAGAACTCCCACCAATAGTCTTCGCCATCCCCTCATGAGGAGGGTGGATTGCCGCTGCCGGTTTCTCGGAAAGTATCGTCGACTTTGCTTAACGTCGTCCCAATCGGCGGTTCAACGCTCAGGAACATTCTTGCGTACGTCCTCGCTTTCTGAGAGCAAAAGCAACGGTTATAACATACGACAAGGCCCAGCCTCGGTATGTGCGTAGAACACAGAGCGAGAAAGAGAGACACAGAGCCCCGCGCCGCACCGAACTTGCACCCCGCTCGCCTCACCAACTATCAACAAAACGGTCCCGCGATGTCGTGCCACGGGATATCGTCCTCCACGAACCGCCGCGATTTCCCTTTCCCCTTCATCCCCGCGCTCGCCGACACGCCCACGACTTGCACTCCGCCGCCGGCGCTCCCCGCCAGCGGAAGCGTTTCCTCGCTGCTCCAGCTGAGGTTTGCCTTTGCAGTCGGTCCCGAGGGCGAAGGCGGCACGGGCGGGGTAGCCTCGCCGTTGACGTCCGCGGAGGGGCGACGGAGGCTGAAGAAGCTCTTGCGGCGCGGTCGGAGGGAGCGCGGCTTGTCCTTGAGGAGCTTCTTGCCCGAGTCCTGCGTGCCATCGATGGAGGCGAAGGGGTCGTTCGAGACGAAGGGGTACTCGTCGAAGGATGACGTGGCCCGAGGCAGGGGGGTCCTCGCCCCGTGCGTCAAGGCGCTCTTGAAGGGTGTCTGCGGGAGGGGTTTCTCGGCGGGAGGAGAGCGAGGCTGGATGGGCAGGGAGGCGCGGGCGCGGCCGCTGGGAGAGGTCGAGGACGCAGGGAAGGAGGCGAGCACGACGTCGACGGGGACCCCTGCGGCAAGCATCTCGCGCATACGCGTGAGCTGCGCGCGTAACACCTCCGTTTCCGACGAGGGCGGGTGCGGTCGGGGCAGTGGCCGGTGGAGAGACGGGCTCGAATTTGACATCGCCGACGACGAAGGGGTTGTTTTTGTTCGGCGTGCGTGAATAACCGGCGTCGGAAGGCATGCTGAAAACTACAAACAGAGGCGACTACTTTGTCACCCGCGGCATGGAGGACAGGGACGAAGACAGCTCTTACCTTTTTGTTAGTACTTGACTGGCAGCACGAAAAACCACGGGGGAGAACAGGAAAAGAGGGTGTCCTTGATTCTCCAGAGCAGTCGAGCCACATTCATATACATGCTAAATGCTCAAATCTAGAGCTTGACTGGATGAACTCAACTCATGTAGTACGCTGGTTCTCACCAGTGGGGCTCGGAGCGTGAGTGCATGCGGCGCAGGCCTGTGGCACCCTCGACCACACTGGAGCAACCGGACACAAAAGACGCAGCCGCAGACCTATTCGCATACAAAAGGTGAGCTGTGCAGCTCGAAGGCGGTTCGAGAGCGCGTGTGCAGGTTGAGGCTAGCCACCTACTGAAAACAATAGACTTCGGGTGAAAACCGTAGGCTAGGGCGTCAAGTTCAAACGTCCACCACGTACCAGGTTAACTTATCGAGAGCGCTTCCAAGCGAAGAAGGCCCGTTCAAGCTCTGTAGATGGTAGAGTGAAGGAAAGAGGTGCATGAACACCGCCCGACCGGTGACGACGGTCGTCGCAAGACTGACCAATCCGACCAGTTGCTGCGACCGGTCCGTTCTCGGGCCGTGGGTCCACCGACAAGGTGATGACGGCGCTTCAACGTCTTCTTCCCCTCCCCTTCTCTGATTGGACTACTCCTCAGATATGTTCAGAGTCAAACGTCTGCAACCTGCGCTCAAGGAAAAGAACAGAGTTAGTCAGTCGATGTCAACGTCCCCAGTCATCTGCCCGGTTGTTTTCCACTCCTCTTCAAAAATACCACTGCCGAGCCGCATGATCATGAGATGCTGAGAAGACCCATGTTATTCGTCCGCTGGTATTTCATCTCCTAAGTTCTTTCTGTGACATTGCCAACAAAAGTGGAGGCGGTGGGTACGACGGCGTCAAAAACGGTGGGATTGAGTCACAAGTGGGCGGATGCTGTCGTAAGCATCCTTTCCTACGTTCTTCTTTCGTCATTTCACTGTGTCTCTAGCACCGGCGTACAGCAGCCCCATGCCTTCCCGACGTGGACGAGTGTGCGAGTCGCTGGAAGATGAGCGGGCCGCCGGGGATAGTATAAAGCGCATACACCGGGCCCTCTGGACCAGCGTCCCCGACCGGCACCGACATGTCGCGGATTGTAGTGAGCCTCTTCTTCCTGTTCTCGTGCGTTACAAGTGCACCTCCCACCGTGAAGCTCGACGATGCGACTTTCATCGGCTTCAACGCCGGTCTCAATGTCCGTTTTCTAGGCATCCCATTTGCCAAACCTCCGTGCGTCGCATTATCCACACCTTTGGGCGCATATATGCTGACTCCAAGGTCTGATCAGAGTCGGCGCTCTACGGCTGCAGCTTCCCCAGGCGATTTCGTACTTCAGCGGAGTGATCAACGCAACCAGCTTCGGCAACCAGTGCATCCAACAAACCATTATCACGCCCAATGTGCCCTCCAACTTCCCTCCCGAGGTCGAAGCGTTCATAGCGCCCACGGCGGCACCTCCGGACGTTCCTCAGAGCGAAGATTGCGCGTACCCAAACCTGCCGCAGTCATTCATGTAGTGCTCACAGTGCTTGTTCAGGTCTCAACACCAACGTTGTCGTCCCTGCAGGTGCAAAGCCTGGAGACAACTTCCCTGTGGCTGTAGTGAGTGTGTCATTTTTATGCCGAGCGCCGCCTCGATTGCTTATTTGACCCTGCAGTGGATCTACGGCGGTGCCCTTTATCTCGAACGGAGGAGAAACTCATCTTCGGGGAACAGGAGGATATGTGATCGGCTCCAACGCCGTGTACGCATCCTGTCATCCTCGAGAGCGATGCTAACGCCGCATTTGTAGACAACCTGGTGAAACCATCGTGAATCGATCCATCGAGCTCGGCCAGCCCGTCATCTTCGTTTCGATGAACTACAGGTATGGCTACTGCTGTATTTCGCTCACTCCTCTTTGACTGATCTGTATGTCAAGGCTCAGTGGTATGTCTCAGTCTTAGATGCATTCGGTCAGAGTTGAACGTACCAACAGCCTTCGGTTTCCTCGGTGGGAGCGATATTCAACAAGCTGAATTGGGTAATCTCGGTCTGCAAGACCGTACGTACTCTTCATTTCGTCTCGTGGAAGGGTCAATTGATTTATCTCCGCCATCAGAACGAGAGGCGTTGTGCTGGGTTCAGAAGCACATCGCGGCCTTCGGGGCGACCCATCCAAAGTCACGATGTGCGTTCTCGCGGCTTTATATTGTGATGTCACTTACGCATCATAGCTTTGGCGAAAGTGCCGGAAGCCAAGCCGTTCTGTTCCAGATGGTCACCAACGGCGGCGATACCGAAGGTCTCTTCTGCGGGATGGAAGGAGTCCGGTTCCGTCCTTCCCACAGACGACTTTGAAAATCCGCAGCCCAGTTTTAACCTCATCGTCAGCGAAACGGGATGCGCAGGAGCGAAAGATAGTTTGGCGTGTCTCCGTAGAGTGTCCGCAGAGGCGATCTACGCTGCGATGGATAAGACGCCGACGTTCCTGTCATTCTAGGTGTGCACAGTGGTCGGTTGTACATTTCTTTGTGGGACCGACAGTTTCCCACAGGCATTGAACACACCGTGGATGCCGCATACAGATGGCGTGTTCTTGAAAGATGATCCCCAAAAGCTCGTCCTGGATGGGAGCATTGCAAACACTCCCTTCGTCGTTGGTGCGCATTGTCCGACTCTCATTGTGATGTCGTTCTCACTGGATTGTAGGCTCTTGCGAAGACGAGGGGACACTGTTCTCCCTCGCACCTCTCAACATCACGTCAGTTGCACAACTCGTCCATACATCCGTACTCGACTCATTACATGGCGCAGTGGTACGGCGACTCAACTCGCAGCAGTCCTGAAGTCAAACTACTTCCCGGCCGCCTCCGACGCCGACATACAGCGCCTGCTCGAGCTCTACCCCGCCGATCGCGCCGCAGGCTCTCCGTTCGGCACAGGCGACGCGAACGCGTTCACACCCGGGTACAAACGCCTCGCTGCGTTCCAGGGCGACTTCATCTTCCGTGCGCCTGCACGCTTCCTGCTCGAGCAGCGCGCTAGCAAGCAGGTCGCGCGCTCGTTTCGTGAGTGCTTCCTGCTTTAACACCACCTCGTCGCTCACCTGCGTTGATGTAATCAACAAGCGTAGCAGGATCCCCGGGTTCGGCGCGGTGCGCGCCCCTTTGGTCTTCCATGCATCCGTGCTAATTCCCCGTATAACCACTTTGGGCGCGCCGCTGCCGCGTGCACCCGAACAGACACACACGACGGAGCTCTCCAATATCTTCGGGGGCGGAGACTTGGCCGACTTCTTCGTCCGCTTCGTCAACACCCTCGACCCGAGCGGCGACGGCGCGCTCGACTGGCCGGTGTACACCACCGCCGCGCCGCTCGTTATCGCCTTGCAGGAGGGCGCCGGCGTGCCGCCTCTCGCGCTCGTCAAGGACACGTTCCGGAGGGAGGCGACGGCGTTTGTAACGCAGCTCGGCCTCGCACACCCGCTGTGAAGCAGGCAAATACAGTGCGCGGAGGCATGTTTCATGAATATCGTACCATGCGCAGAGCAGAAGTGATACGTCGGAGGCTGTGTAGCACGATGCGTGGCAATGCCATCATGCGCGCGAAAGTTGGATTTGCGCGCGCTATCTTGATTCGGTTCCGTTGGGTCGTCGACGCTCTCCCGCTCTCCCGCTTCGCGATGGCCCGTGCCCGTGCCCGGGTATTTAGCTCGCGCCCCGCGAGCGCGCTTGTCCAGAACTCTCCCCGTCCTCCCATTCTTTCTTTCAACCTCATGCGTCTCGCCCACAGTGTCAGGCTCTGGAAAAGACGAAGTCGCCAAGGTCGCTCTCCTTTGAGCGTCGCTCGAGGGCTCGGAGCAGTTTTAAAACCTCAACTTCGTGGAGGAACTCGCATTCTTCAAGCAATTGCAAGTGACGGACATCAGCGACAAGGCGAAGCTCAAGCAGCACGAGCCGCCTCAGTACAGGTTATGCATAAATCCCTGTGAGAGCGCCCCGGGTTTATGCATACAGTACCTTATGCATACACAGATATATGCATAAACATTGAAGTATGCATACAGCGGTAAGAGCGTCAATATCCGTAAACAAAAGGACAGCCACATGAATCGAACCCGCAGCCTGTTGACATTGTACACATGCGACACAACAGACCACTACGCCAATGTTCCATGTTCTTTGTGCGTTGCTTATAGAATATATACTCTCTTCAATACTGACATAAACACAAGGCTTTTGTTGAACTCGTCGTTCATCACAGTCCAGTCATACTTCTCAACACTGCTTGCATACTCGCCCTCTCCTCGGGATGCTTACCTATGTCTAAGATTGTGTTTATACATACATCCGGTTTATGCATACGCCCCGTTTATGCATACGATTCGTTTATGCATACAACACGTTTATGCATACAGCGCGTTTATGCATACGATCCGTTTATGCATACAACGCGTTCATGCATACGGCCGGTTTATGCATACGGCCGGTTTATGCATACAGCCCGATTATGCATGCGGCGTGATTATGCATGCGGCATGATTATGCATAAATGGTTCATATGGGTAAACACAGCGTATACCGGTGGGGCAAGACGACAGTCGTCAACCCCAGGGCCGAGTCCACGGCGGTGAAGGCGACAATGGACATAGAGGGCTGGTGTAAGCGTAGAAATGGGGAATCCGGGATATGACGCGTTGAGGGGAAAGCGAACGCGAAGAGAGTTGGATCGCGGGAACGCGAGGTGCGCGAGGAGGTCAGAATGGATGAGACTGAGGAGGATGACGAGTGTGAGTGCGACACTGAGGGCGAAGGCGACACCGAGGGCGAAGGCGACACCGAGGGCGAAGGGGAACGCGCGGTGCGTCTAGACCGATGCGTCGTGTAGGGCTGCCGTATCGATCCTAGGTGAACGCGGGCGGATCGCGATGGGCGTGTGCGAGGCGGGACGGACAACGTGCGCGGAAAACGTGCGCGAGGACGACATGGACGGGAGCCAGGCGAAGGCGCGTAGCCACTAGCGTGGTCGGGTGGTCGAGGGACGACGAGTGGACGTGAGTCGTAGAGAATGGAGCAACGCGACGCTGCGAGGACGCAGGAGCTGAGAGAGAGCTCTGGCGTCGATTCCTGGTGTGCGCGTCGACCGGTCATGGGTGTGATCACGAGGCCGGACACGGTGAGTACGCACCTCACGCTCGCCACGCAGGCTGGGACGGCCGAGTGAGGCGGAAGGGCGCGCGCCGGCCAGGGACCATGCGCGGAGGTGTTCCTCGAGCACAGCCACCCCCGCAGTGCCTGGATGACGTGTGGGTCGATCACATCCCGCTTTTCTCGGAGACGCGTCTCATCTCACGGCCCGCCCGCGCGTACTTGCAAGAGCACGAATAGTATGAAGCATTCTACGAAACAAAACATTACTACGCCCTCTACGGCCCTCTACAAAGGGCGCACCCAGTTGCGAGCGCAGATTCGGTTCCACTTCTGGAGGTTGAACCCGCCTTGGACGTTGTCCAGGCCAAGCGCCTCGATGAGTTTGCGACCCAACCTATGCGGTACGGTAAGTAACAGGCGCGTAGATACAAGAGGAGAAGCACTCACACGGCCACTACGTCCGATCGGAACTTCTTCCCATTACCCGGCTGTTTCTTGCCCGACTTTCCTTTCCCCCCGCCACCCTGCCATGTTTCTGCAACGCTCCGTCAGCTTGCCCTCACGCGCGTAATAGAATGCGACTTACCGGGTGCCAGCCCCAACTCACGGTCGTCCGATGTAAGAACCTACAGTGGCCATGGGGGAACGTAAGGCTCCCGCCGTTGTTCTTCTTCACCTTGATGCGACCTCCAAGGCCGTTCTGGATGGCCTGAAGCGCACATGTTAGCGCATCGTCGTGGCAATGAAGCCGGAATACGTACCTCACATACTAGTGCGACCTCCATAGCCATGTACGGACCCCGCATAATCTGATGCAAGGTCTGCGTGCGATGGTCGGAATCGTCAGAAAACGTATGTAAGTGGAACGATAAGAATACTCACGTTGCGGTGCTCGATGCTCATAGGCGGCATGGTGAGCGAGTCAGCGACAGCGATGAGTGGGTGAGGTGCGCTGGGAGAGTGGATGTTGACGGTCTGGGGCGCGAGCGCGGGTGGAGGGTGACACGTGGGGTGAAGGCACCACGAGTGAGGGTGGTGCGGCGACGGTCGTGGTGGCGTGAGTGGAGCATGGACGGTCTTTTCAGGACCCAGCGCGAAGAAGAGTGACGAGCTACTCACCTTAGACTGCCACGCGGGTGAGGCGCGCGCGCGAGAGGTTGTCACGACCGGGGGTACGTTCGCGGAACAAGACCGAGAGTGAGATTTGCGGCGGGTCCGGCGGTCGCAAAGGGGGAGGGGGATGGTCTGTTGAGGACCCAACGCGAAGAGGAACGAGGAAAAGCTCACCTGGGCTATCGCGGGCGTCACACGTGCGCGTGTGGCAGAGCGTCGACACGCGTGGAGGACGGTAGGTGGTCGCGGCGGCGTGGAAGATGAAGGGCACGGGGGAAGGTCGGGGAGAAGATCCAGCGCGAAGACGAGTGACGACACTCACCTGGGCTAGCACGCGCGGGAGACGTGCGCGGGCGGCAGGGCGTCACCACCGGCGTCACCAACGCGGTAGTAATCTGGTTGTATAGAGGAGTGCTTTCGTTGGGGCAGAAAGAAGAGGTGAGAGAGGGAGCGGCGAGGAGAGGAGAGGAGGGCAGAGGAGAGGCGGCGAAGACAGACGAATGGTGAGACGCCCGTAGAGTGTCGCACGACGTAGCGAGACACTCACCGAGCACTCGGCAACGGACCACGATGTCGATCGTCGTGCTTTCTGGATGCGTTCGAGAGCGAGAGGCCGCCAACAGACGACAGTGGATGGAGGGCGAGGATGTGGCAAGCGCGGGAGCGTGGAGCGTGGAGCGGGGCGCTGAACTTTCAATTAGCTTCTCGCGTTTGTGATATCGCACGCGTGCTCACAAGGTGCGTTGCGTCTCGCGATGCGTAGCGTCTCTGGTCGTTCCTCACCTCGATCGCCTTTGGCCTCGTTCGCAAGGCCCGCTTGAGTGGTACTTCCTGGCGTTTCGGTGTTCCAAGCTCTTTAATTTCTGAGCATCCCCCTTCCTCACATGGGTCGACGACATCTAGCACGGACGACACTACTATGGCTAGACGACATCTCGCCAGGACGACACTGCTCACTATTTGGACGGGCCTCGGTGTCTTCGGCAATGTCCGCAGGGCACCGCTTGACTCCTGGTCCGTGATCCGTCGCGGCGTTCAGTTACGGCCCGAGGGTTCGGCGTTTATTCCGGCAACTTACCGGCGTCTTGCTCCAGCGTTGACCCGGCCCGGGGTCCTATTCCCATAGTGTAGTCGGGCGGGAAGCGTAGATAGGCATCGGAGGAGAGGGGCGATAGCACAGCACCTGTGGTTACCACTAATGTAATACAATCCCCCAGGAACGTGGGCACTTCATTATGCTGATACCCACCACGTTTTCATTGTAGAAAAGCCTGGTTGGGTTCTAACAATCACAAGCATGCCTGTGTTGTAATAACAGGCAGATGATGCAGAGTTATTACAGTGATCTTTCAGGCTGTTATAAGCAAATTCTGTAATGACAGGAGCCTCTCTGGTCTGTAATAAGTGAATTCTCTAATGACAGGGACCCCTCTGGGTTGTTATAAGCGAAATCTGTAATGACAGAGACCCCTCTGGGCTGTTATAAGCCTTGTTCTTAATGACAGCACCCTTCTAGAGCTTGTATAAGTGACGTACTTTATAACAAAAGCCTCTCAAGCTGTAATAAGCCTCATTCTTAATCACAGCAACCTGCTAGAGCTGTAATAAGCCTTGTTTGTAATAACAGGGCCACACCTAGGCTGTTATAAGTGACGTACTTTATGACAAAAGTCTTCTAGCCTTGTAATAAGCTGATATTTTAATGACAGTACCTTCCCAGAGGTGTAATAAGCCCCATTTATAATGAAAAAGCAACCCCAGTGCTGTAATAACCCACGTCAGGTACTGTCCAGCTATTAATAGCCTCATATCGTGGCTGGTCTGGCCAGCTATTAATACCTGGTATACAGGTACCCTACCTGCCCTGCAGCCCTGAATTGGGTGAATAGGAGCTGCCTATAAGATAGCTATCAATAGCAGTGGATAGCAGCAGGTTCCTGCAGCGGGAATAGGGTGCAATAGCTGGTTCTCGCACATAAACGGTGGGGGCTGCACAGCTGGGTGGGGTGGCAAAACGGCCAGGCACTATATATATATCGAAAGGAGCATCATGTAGCTTTCAAACGCATTCAAGAGTGTGCCATTCGGAGCAGTATCAGCGGAGATACAGGTGTACCCCTGTTTTTGCCGATAGGCACATCCACTAGAATTGGGAATTGTGGATGGATCCCCTCCGTTCTTTTTGCATAGTGTATGGTTCTCTTTCAGATAGACGGGATTGAAGTCCG